GAATGATGAGAAGACTAATAGTAATAGTAATGCAGCCTTAGTGAATAGTTTGACAGTGGTGAGGGAATTATTTGATTAGCAGAGTGATGGTGTTCAGGGGGAAACTGTTCTTGTTCTTTAATATGTGTTACAAGTAAAAAGGGTGCATGGACTTGATCTTATGATCATTGCTGTGGCCACCATTTGACTTTTTTAAGCATCTCCATGGATGTCCCTCCTGAATAGATAAATTTCTATCATAGGGAGCATGGGACAATTTCCTTTTCCACCATGGTCTACCCATATGGTAACAAGGAAATTTATGGAGGTTCTGCCTTCCTGTTCTCAATTCCTAGATCTGGGTCAATTTCCCATCTTCAGTTGGATATCTATAATGGGCAGAAGAAATAACCTTGAGGGACAGAAGAAGAGCCATGGCCAAAACAATCTTTAGATAAAAGAAATTTGAGTCCAGAGTGGAATTGTAATCTGAGAAAGTGTCTCAGGCTTGATCTTTCCTAATTTTCATGAAGATGAAGCATATTCAGACTTGTAAGGTTCTGTTACTGAAGCCTTATAATGAAAATAGTATTAACATTCATAACTTTGGCTTCCTAGTCTGGTATACCTTGAAGGACTAACAATATCCAGGACCCCTTCTTGGACTATAATAGACTTCTAGCTCTCTTCAATACAGTCCACACCGGGACTTAGAGGACTATACTTTTAATCCACCATGATATTTGACAGCACAGATTCCCTTCATTATATGCATTTTTCCCCTGCTGATTCTATTGCCTTCTAATTTCATACCCCCTGATGTCTGTTTAAATGAAATTCCTTCTCAATTATTTAAAAAGGGGAACATCTGGATAAAGGAAGATGGGAAATCCCTAGTCAGTCCATTTTGCAGGGACACGGTAGCAGTTTATCAATTGCTTTCTGTCTTTCGGAATGTGACACAACAATATTTATACCTTTCTACTATCATTTTTTTCCAGCAAGGAAAGAAAGCATGTTATCAAAGGCTATTTCTTATTCAGGAGGTGCAGCCAGAAAATCAGGCATACTGATGCAACAAATTAAGGACCGTGTTTCTAAAAGGAGGCAGTAAAACAAACACATGATTTTTTTAAAATTTAGGTGTTTTGTAATCATACAACCCTTTGCTCAAGCAGGAGGCCCTATACCCATGATGGTGAACCTATGGCACACAGAGCCTTCTCTGTGGGCACAGCTCCAACCGTGCATGCACACATGTCTCCTGCCAGCCACCTGGTTTTGGGTCTCTGCCACAAATGCACGGGGGCAGAGCACATGCGGAAAATGGGAGTGAATGTTTGGGGGTCAAGCACAAATGCGCTGAGGTCATGCATGCATCCAGGGGGCAGGAGAATGTGGGGGCATGGGGGCATGTACAGGGGTGGGAGAGTGTGGGGGTTTGTGCGTGCATGCGTGGGAGTGGGGCACACACTGGGGGGCATCGTGCACACATGTGTGGTGGCGGGGTGCGCTGGGTGGGGTCACACACACATTGAATTATGGGTGCATGTGCGTGCTTTCAGCACACAGTGACAAAAAGATTAGCCATCACTGCCCTATACCATTCCAGACAAATTGTCTTAAAAACCTCCAGTGACGGAGCAACCACAACTGAAGGCAAGGCCTTTCACTTGTTCTCATTATCAGGAAATTTCCCCTTAGTTTTAGGTTGGATCTCTCTTTAATGATCTTCTACTCCCTGTTACTTCTTATCCTGCCCTCAGATGCTGTGGAGAACAGGTCAACTCCCTCTTTTCTGTGACAGACCCTCAAGTGGGTCTATGATAATTCATCATGGCCCAATGCTCCATGGCCAACTCACCTTGGCCAACTGGCTGCAGCCAACTCATTGCAGGACAAGAATTAGACTAATATCAAAGAAATAGTGGAACAGAATCATTAAAAACAGGATGCAAAAGGAGGGATGAAATGAAATGGGAATGGCAAAAATTAAAATATTTTTTTTATTTATTTTAATTAATTTAATAGAATTGTTAAATTGTCCCATGGTGAGTTGGCCATGGTGAATTGGATGCAGTGAGTTGGCTATGACAAGTTGTCCCCTTTCTCCCTCAAGTATTGGAAGACTGCTATCATGTCATCCCTAGTCCTTCTCTTTATTAGACTAGACATACCTAGTTTCCTCAATCATTCACCATATGGTTTAGCCTTTAGGCCCCTTATCTCCTTTGTTGCTCTTTTCTGCACTTTTTCTAGGCTCTTGACATCTTTTTAAAATCATGGTGAGAGGAATTGGATTCACCGGTCCAGGTTTTAATTCCACAACATTACAAATGAAAATACAATTTAGCTTTCTTACTGTACATCAATATGTTTTATTTAGAAAATATTGAACATCATGTGATGCTTAAAAAATAGCTGGACATTATGTAAAAATAAAAGAAGGATGGGCAAAATTGAAGCAGAGTGGGGACAACCATTCCAGTTCTGAGACTATTGTTCCCCCTTTTTGCTACCTTCTTTTCTTTCCCCAAAACAGGAGATTGCAAAAAAAGGTAAATAGGATTGATATAAGTGATATTCTTCATAGGAGTTTTAAAATTAAACTATGAGGCATGTTTAATTTGATTCTGAGGAAACTGCAGGATCAGGAATATCTGTAAGATGTGGTAAAACAAAAACACCAGGATTATGAGAGCGGAATCTAAATTCTGCCTTTTTGTACATTGCACATTAAAAAAATGGGCACAACTTCAATCACACCACAGGAGTTCTACCCCCAGAGATCCGGACTCTCCCCACTCTCGCAGCCTTCAAAAAGTCTATTAAGACCTGGCTTTTCCAGCAGGCCTGGGGCTGTTGACCTCTTGAATGAGGTCCAGCCCCACTNTTTTGGTCTCTAAATCCACCACGTTGACCTTGGGAGCCACAGAGATGTCTGTTTATTCCCCTCCTTTTGACATGGAGTGAGAAGAAAAAGCAGTTGTCCACGACCAAGAGGTTCCTTCTGGAGGATCCCGCTGGGAGGAAGTGTGTCCAGTTAGCTTCTTAAAATCAAATTTCACTTTCCTTTTTCCAAAGAACCTTTTGTTATTTTAATAAGTCTGTATATATCCAGAGTTTCCCCTGTAAGAAATTAACAAGAAAGAAATTTCAAAGAATTGTTTCTTTGCAAATTAAAAATGTTCAAATGTTTAAGTGTAACTTTTAAGGATTCATGTGCTGGAATCTTTTAAAAATACTTTTGTTCCTAAATACATCTTGGGCCAGGCAGGGGTTTATTTAAAGCAGGAAAGAACAAGCAGATTAAAACATTTTATTCAAGCTCTCCTTATTTTGGTCAAAACTACAGATACTATGAATATATTTAGACAATTATGCCAGAGTTGGGCCTAATTGAACTTTCTTACTTTACTTTGGCAAAGTATTCCTCTTAACAATTTAATAAAATCCATAATGTTGTGTTGGTTTCTTATGCTGTCACATTTGATGCAGTAATTGTTAACTCTGTTTCTGAAAATAAACAACTATATACTTTTAAAAATGCACATTAACTTGGAAAAGTCATTTCAGACAGCCCTGATATTCGTATGTTCCTTCCATTGTTGGAGCTAAGAGGCTTCACTTCTTAAAAAGTAAGTATCTTTTTATGTAAAAATAAAATAAAATGTTTATATCCTGTTACCCGGATATTCAAGCTCCTTGAATTTAAATGCCTCTCATTTCTCTGTAGCCATGCATAAGAGTTCATAAGTCAGAGAATGTAAGGGAAGATACTATCCTCAGTTAATACTTTTTTTCCTGTTGCAGGAAACATGAGAAGTTATGCATGCATTTTGGGATTCTCCTTAAAGAATACTCCTGAGCAAAGTCTTAGCAGCCAAACTGGTCCTGAGGATGACAGAAGCCTCACACAAAGCTGATTTCCAGACTGGGAAAGGCTTACATTTCCCTCATTACATAGGATTATCCAGCAACTAAAAGGTAGAATTCTTGTCAAGTCTGAATTTGAAAAGCAGTGTGCTGCAGCTGCCAAAAAAGCCAACACAGTTCTAGGCTGCATAAACAGAGGGATAGAATCAAGATCACATGAAGTATTAATACCACTTTATAAGGCCTTGGTAAAGGCTCACTTGGAATACTGCATCCAGTTTTGATCACCATGATGTATAAAAGATGTGGAGACTCTAGAAAGATTTCAGAGAACCGCAACAAAGATGATTAGGGGACTGGACGCTAAAACATATGAAGAACGGTTGCAGGAACTGGGGATGTCTACTTTGATGAAAAGAAGAACCAGGGGAGACATGATAGCAGTCTTCCAACATCTCAGGGGTTGCCACAAAGAAGAGGGGGGCAACCTATTTCCCAAAG